GGTATTAATTTTAGAAGAGAAACCAATTAAAAGATAACAGGAGAACATATGAGAACATATGCTTCGGTTAGCAAGAATCTAAGTGTTCAAAAAAACATGACCCCCAGCTATAGCAAAGGAAGTTTGGGATGGTTTTGAAAGCCCTGCAAAACCATCTTTCTAATGAACCGTCCTCACTACAAGAGGAGTTGAGATGGGCTGGGCAGGATCACGAGAAGGAGGAGTGGGGCCAAACAGTGCCAGCCTGCACTGGGCTCCCCCCTTCAGGGCATATATATGCATCCACAGCAACCCTCGTTGTAGGCTGAGCATGGCACTTCTACCCAGGTGGTTGTGGATGGAGTAAAATAGCAACTCTTGAAAAAATATTCAGCATTCATCTTAAATACACACAATCTCAGGGGAGGCAAGGCAGGCCCTTGTGGAAATGGCCACTGCAATAGAAAACCGCCATGGGAAGTCTCGTCACAGAGAGCCTTTGCAAGACACCTTGTGCTAGCAGGGCAAGCCTACTGCTGGAGCTGCCACAGCCTGGTCACACACTCTGCTGCCTGCCTGCCCTCAAAGGCCCCAAGCGCTCTCGGCAAAAGATTTTTAGCAGCGAAGGATTGTCACGGTCTATGCTTTTCTGAGCTCTAAGCAACGGTGCTGACACTGTGTGCCGCTGTAGTCCCTGCGGTATGGCACCGAGCAGGTGGCGTGGGCAGGGTAGTAGGGCTTTACCCTTTGGTAGTGTTCCAGACCTATGTATTTTCGAATGATAGGCAAGGAGTGTTATAACTATTTGACACGTGGGAATGCTTAGAAGGAAGAAGATCTTCTCCTGCAGGTTCGCAGCAAGTCCATGCTGTCGCAAAAAACCTTCCACGCCGCACTCTGAGGCTGTGAGCTATTTACTGCTTGCCCTTTCTACCACTAGTCAGCAGAGAAGTCTTTCCCAATGTTAAGTCCCAAAGCCACGCGTGGGTGGCTGCAGAGGTGGACTGCCTGCCCTGCACTCAACTATGAAGCAGGGAGCTGCAGGAGAAGGAAGGATACTTCTCCAGGGCAGTGGGAACTCAGGCAACATGTTCAGGAGCGCCTGGAGAAGAGAAGTTAAGCCCAGGATTGGCCAGGGAGCAAAGACAGAGTTTAGGCATCCAGGGATCTAGGCGGCCATGCAGCAAACCCCATCTTCCCTCTTATTTTGCTGGGTCAATGCCAGGTGGTAGAGGGCAAAGGAAGGTGCTGAGGGTAGGAAAGTCCTTGGCAAAAGGAGTGGGCAGGCTGGGGGACTGGCTAAGGCACTGGTTGGCACATTGCCTTGCATCTCGCTTTGAACAGAGGAGCTAACAGATCCTTGCCGTTTAAAAGAGCAGAGCATTGATGCTGCTTGGCGGGAGCATCTCCGATGCTCACGCAGCAGGAAATGCTTTGGCACACTGCTCGGGGGAAAACAGGCATTGCGTGGCAGATGAAAAGATAGGATTTGCCTGTTGTTTCTGTGCCCCTGGCTAGCAACCACCCTGCCGCTGTGAGCCTTGAGGTGCAGAATGGCGCTTTCAACCCAAGAGCCCTACCAAAGGACAGGCAACGTCCCTGTCTTTACGCCAAAGAAAGAGAGAGCAGCACTCGGCCTGGTGGGACGAATGGAGATGAGGACTAGGCAGGCCAGTGGGGTTGGAGTGAAGCCAAAGGATGCCCAGGCAAACCACAGCGGAGACCATCTACTGCTCTTTCTAATGTCTCCTTAGTTACCTCCCTAGTCCTGCCGCTCGGAGCTGGCAGCATGCTGCAAAGGGGAGCAGGCAGAGCAAGGGGTGCTCTCAGGCTCTTTGCTCTCTGCGCTCCAAGAAAAATGCTCTGCAGACTCCTGGCAGCAGCCGCTCTCCGGTCCCACCTGGGGATCGCATCTTAGGACCATCGCCCCGCACCGCGCTGTGTGCCGTGGAGGATTACTCCGAGGCAAGAAGGCCTGGTGCCTGAGCTAATGAAACAATCTGTCTCTATCTTATGCCTCGTGGGAGAACCTCCTCTTTCAAGGTTTTGTAGGCCAGTGCTAGCCTATCTCCGAGACTCCTGCAAAGAAAACAAGGCTGTTAAACAAAAACCAGGGCACAGGAGCATTGCTTCGCTACCCCATAGAGCTGGAAATGGATCACTTTGGGCTAGCTGTGAATTGCAGCTTAGCAAGCACAGAGGGAAAGCAGAGGAGCCAGAGAATGATTTGTCTCTTGTAATTTCTCAATCGATACCCAGCTCCTAACTTTTACAAACCAAAAAGCGAAGGAGGGAAAGTGGCAGGTGCCAGAGTGAAACCGAAATGTGATATTGTGGGTGGAAAGAGACTGCCAGACCTGAAAAGTCTCCAAGCAGGAAAATCAAAGAGGAGGAAATTGCAGGAGAAAAAAAGTAAATACAATCAAAAGATGGTACATCTGGAGACAGCCCACAGCAGAACAGCAGCGGGTCTGTACTCTTGCAGGTGGGCTCGGGAAGAGGTCCAGGCTCCACGAGGGCTGAATCCACAGGATCCAACAGAGACTCAAAAAGGAGCGCTTTCTGCATGACGGCCCCGGAGAGAAATCAAATGTCTTTGTGGCTGCGGCACAGCACGACCAGCACAATATTCTGGTGCCAATGCTGAGCATTATGGAGCTTCGTGATGAAAATGATCTATCGGGTCACGGTGCCTTTCAGCTGCAAATGGCAGCTCCCTGGCTGCATGCAGCTGTAAATACCCCGGGCAGGACGCAACAAGCCAAAGCCACCTCCGGCCCTGCAAAATGACAGCTCCACTCCATGCTAACCAGCGCCTGGGCTTGGGAGACAGCTGCAGACAGTGCGGCGCCGTCCTGAGCGAAGCGACCTCTTGGAAAGCGCCTGCCGAGAGCCCCCGTCCTTGGTCCAGGAGCGCCAGAGCCGCGCTGCGGAGGGGGAAGGCAACAGAACATCTCCAGGCTGCTTTCCAAAGGCCCAAACGAGAAGAAGGCGCCAGTGACATCCAAGGGCAACTGGGAATTCGGCTCTCTCTGCCTTCGGAAAGCTTCATCCAAGCTGCTCATAGGCCAACGAGCCGTCGCCAATCTGCAAAAGCCCCTAAACGCAGTCCGCTGGGGGCTGATGCCTGGTCACTGCTGCCTGAGATTTCCAAGTTTTCACTGATGTGCGTTATTTCTAAAGCACATTTCAAAGGCCAGCTTCTCGACATCAAAGTCAGTCTCGGCTCAGCACCCAGGATCTGTCAACTGCCCTAGCTGGCTTTTAAGAGGCAAAACAAAGCAAGTACCTGGCTCCTTCCCAGCTCCCTGCTTCCTTGAGGTGTCCTGCCCAGTGACCAGTTCATAACTGGTTTTGAGACATTAAAAGCAAAGCCCTGACAACCTGGGAGAAGCAAACACATTAGAGAGGAAAAAAGAGGGAGGGAAAAAAGTCTGGCCGCAGGACTCAAGTGGAATAGCACAGATATGGAAGAGACAAAAGAAAGGAAGGAATAGGATTAAAGACAAATAACAGTTAAGTCCACAATCAGACAGGATAGCTTGATGGGATTAATGCATTCGTCTTTCATCTCCCTGGGGATGGAGGTATTTGTGGCCTGGAGTAATGCCTACTGCAGTGCATGGGAGTCCTTCAGCCACTTCAAAGGACGCGAGAGCAGGGCATAAATAAGAATGAAACAAGAAGCAGCCCTTACCCTGGGCTGGGCACTTTCCCCTTTACGCTGAGGGCAGCACAGCCCAGCGCAAACCCACCTTCAGCTTCATGCAGCCCCAGGATTATGAGCCAGGGAGGAGGTTGGTGCCCAGGAGGGGATCTGTGCACGGTGGGGCAGCCTTCCTGGAGATGGGCTCCTACCTTTGCTGATGTCCTCATACTCCAGCCAGAGCTGCCGCTGGACCTGCCTGTTGGGATACCAGATGGAGCAGGACTCCTCGAAGCCGTACATGGCCTCCTGGATGTAGTGGTTGCCAAACTGGTCCAGCAGAGCCACGAAATCTCCACGGGAGGTGGCTCCGTCCAGGGAGTGGAGCGCGTTGCTGAAAGCTGAGGAGGAAAGAGGTGGAGCTCTCCCAGGGGAGCCCCAGCTTGAGCCCTTGCCACCCCATACAGCCCTCGCTTGCCACGGGGAACCAACCTCTGAGCCGGCCATCTGTCAGAATAATTTCCTCTTACCACCCCTCCGTGCTGGGGAACAGCCGTGACAGCACTGCCTTTTTTTCCCAAGGACCCAACAGAGCGTTTCAGCAGTGAAATGCCTCAACTGGTCCAAACTGCCCCAAGAGTATAACTACCCCCCACCCAGCAGCCACAGCCCTGCGCTCTTACCCTGGGAGATGGTCAGCTGGTTGAGCCGGACGTGGTACATGACGGACTGCACCTTCCAGTGCTGCAGGAGGGGGTAGCCAGACACCTCACTGAAGTTCACCATCCCTGCCGGAGAAATGACATCGCGGCTTCAGTACTGCCAGTACCCAGGCCAGGACTGCACCCACGCCGAGTCCCCTCCACTCTCTGGTCCCACTGCTACCTTCAGTCTACGTAGGAGCATTTCACCAGCATCATCCCCATCTTCTGCAGCCTCTGAACAAAGCTGCCCAGCTACACCTTGCCCTGGGCAAAGTAATCAGCCAGTGAGGTAGGAACAGGCGTGTGCTGTGTGTGTGTGTGTGTGCACTCATGGGGGAAGGAGGTGACTGATTCAGAGAAGGGCTGAGGGTCAGCTGCTCCCTGGCAATTAAAATCACAGCTTTAAAGGAAAGTGTCCAGGCTCATTTTCTTCTCACAGTCCTGGACTCTGCTTCTGAAGCTAACAAGCTGCCTTCCTCCATCGCCTCCCGCTTCCTTCCCAGAGACTGATCCCACGACATGCCCAGGTGTGTTAATTATTTTGCTAATGAGGATCACGCTTTTTAATGAGCTATTCATCAGAGTGCAGCCAGCCGGGCTGGTCCACATGTGCTGCTGGTGGTGGTGCTGTGGGGACAGCTGTGTCCCACGTGCCTGGACACGGCTAAGGAGGAGGCTGTGGCTGGCACCGAGCGGCACAAGCACACGCCATGGGCCTCCAAATGCTCATGCAAAACTCGGGCAGGGGCTGGACAAGGCCAGAAAGCCTTTGGAGAGGGCCGGGATGTGGGTTGGGACGCTGGTGTTATGCGGGGCGGACACGGGGGTGGCCACAGCGGCTGGTGGGATGGAAGCAGAGAGGAAGGGTAAGGCCAGAAGCTGGGAGAAGGGGAAAGCGAGCAAATGTGCCAGCTCCAGCACGCTCACTAATATTAACCAGATGTAATTGTGCCCTGCCACAGCCAGAAATTCAAGGAGACGAGGGCTGGAAAGGCCCCTGGGTGGTCGTTTAGTCCTGCCCCTCTGAATCAGCCCCAGGAGTTCAGGAGGATAATAAAGTGCGTCTCCCCCGTAATGAGGAACGAAGGTGGGGGATAAGGCGCCGTGCCTTGCAGTGCCTCTTCCGTCGGTGCTGGCTGCTCCCCGCAGCTTTAAATTGCAGCTCTTCTCCGCAAAGTGTTTATGCAAAACCAGCCTTTCCTTACTCAGCAGCTCTGCCTCTCATGTATTCAGAGCAATATCCAGATCTGCTTACTGACAAGCAGAGATTTTACTTCTCTCTCTTTTTTTTTTTTTTGTTTAAATCAGCCACAAAGAGCCGGCAGAGCAGGGGGAAATGAATAGGGTAATTTGCCAGCTTCTGCCTCGTCAACATAATTGCCAGCGAAGCTCCAGTCCCACCGACCCCTCCGCGATGCTGAGGCCGTGGCAGCACCGCCTTCGTTACATCTGTGCAACCATGGCAACGGCAGCAGAGACGAAAAGCAGAGCCTTCTCGAGACCGGCTCATCCTCCACACTCAACATCCCTGGCACTAGCGTGAAGGCTCGAGTCCGGGAGAGCCGGGTCCGAGGGATGCTCGTTCCCACGCACCTGGGGAGCATCACCCACCCAAAGCAGGAACGCACCAGGCACATGCACAAGGTCTGGGACAAGACCACCCTGCGGAAACTTTACAAAATACCTACATATCCACACCAGTTATTTAAATGCCAGGTAGCTGCCTGCTGTCCTCAGCCATTGCAACCAACAGAAAAGTCTCAGAAACAAGCACCAAGGAAATAAAGGCTATGTGGAGGTGCTGGCAACTCGGTGGGAAAAAAGTAAATCATTTAAGATTGTCTAGGAATCCATAAGTGCCTCGCTCCTCATGGCCTGCTTGGGATAATCTGAAATATTTTGGTTTAGTTGTGACAGGTTTGGAATGCTTTGTTATACTGGCAAAGAGCTTCTGATTTGGAAAGCAAATGCAAGGCATTTGGAAAAAAAATTGCCTTGAATAAACAAAAGCCTTTTTATAAATACCCCAAATATCCATTGGATACTCGAGCTTTTATGACACAAAATTAATTTATAGCTCTTCCTCACTCAGTCTCTCCTCCTCCTTCCCGCAAATGGACAATCTGGCAAAAGACAGCCCCGTCCAGGCAACGTTACAGACTCCCTCCATTTGCAGTTGGCCGAAAACAACGTTGTGGGAAATATATTGCCTTCCTCTTACAGATGTCGCTACAGGTGAGCGAGGGAGGCTAAAGCCAGATTAGATAAATCAGGCAGGAGCCTGGCATGACTTTTTTGGACTGCTTGGGAAGGCATCCTCCGTGAGGGATGAAGGCTGAAGCCAGGCATGCTGGTGGCAGTGCCGGGGCGAGAGGGCCCCAAACACCGCTGGGCTCACTCACCGGTGAGGAACTCGGGGTCAGGCGTGGGGTCTGAGAGCTCTTCTTGGCACTGGTTCTCCAGCGGCACCGTGGCCACCACCAGCCCATCCGGCAGCTGCTGCTCCAAGCCCCGGGCAAAGTTGTTCTGCCTAGAAATTCAAGGCAGGGTTGGAGGAGAGGCAGAAGATCCTGGCATCTTCTGACCTGACCAGGAACACCCCCTAAAAACCCAGTGCAACACCAAGCCCACCCTTGGACATCCCCTTTACAAAGGCACCTGCTCTCCATGGGAAGCTTCAGAAGCAGAACTGCCCACCCACCCTGCAATCTCCTGCCAAATTCAGAGGGACCAGGCAATCTCTCGGGGCTCCAGGATGGTGAGGGCTGATCCTGCCAAGGGTCATTTCCCGATATCCCCACTCACCTGAATGTCCCTTTGAGCACCTGCCCCGCTGCCACCTCCTTGGAGTGGTTATTGTAGCCGTAGAAGATCTCCCCAAAGAGAGTCTGGTTCATGGGCAGCTCCCGGGTTTCCCCGCACTCTCCTCCATCAGGGCATGACTCCGATATGAGCTGGCACGACCGCCCGTCCATGCCCAGCTTGTAGTCCTCGATGCACCTGGGAATGCAGCAAGAGTCCTGTCGTCAGGCCACAGCCCCCGGGGACCGGAGATGCCGAGCCACCCTACCGGGGACCCCGGGAATGGAGAAGACGCTCCCTCTCTAACACCGGCTGCAAGAGCCACCGAGACCTACAAGCTCGGATACAACTCCTCACCAGCAGCACCTTGCCTCCTCCTCGCCCTCACTCAGCTGGGCTGTCGCCGGTTTGGGAGCCTGGGCTCTGCAGTAGCGCTCGGGAGGCAGCTCTGCCGCTCAGCCCCGCTCACTTCGCCGCCACGTGCCACCCCCAGATGGGTCCAGCACGTGGCAGAGCTGGAGCCGGCCTGCTTTGAATTTTGCTTGGGAAGAAGTTACAGTGCAGCGAATCCCGAGTGTAAGTAATGATCTTATTTCACAGTTGGTCGCGTAAGCTCATAAACTTGCACCTGTTTGCTCTCCTCGAGCGAGGAATACAAATAGGCTGCGGAGGGAGGTCTCCTGCTTACAGGTATCTGCCGGGGAGGAAGGAGCACCCTGCGCTCCTCCAGAGCCCCTGCGGGCTGCAGCAGCCGGAGCCCAGGGACGCTCACCCGCAGAACATGAGGATGTTGTAGAGCAGAGGGTCATCGGGCAGCGGGACCATCTGCTGGAGGCACAGCTGCTCGCAGCCCCCGTTGAAGCCGTCCGAGCAGTCCACGCCGACGTGACGGTCATAACAACCTGTGCCGTCTTTCATGGGGCTCAGTCCTGTCGGGCACTAGGGCAGCAGAAAGCAAGAGGTGAGCCCCAGGGTCTGGAGAAAAGGGTCCCGGGGGACGGGAGAGGAAATGTAAAGCGCGCTGCATGGTTAGCAAATAGCCAGGAATTTGCACTGACCTCAGATGGCTGTGTTTCAGGAAAACAGCATTACCCTTACAATAAGAAACTCGTCTGTGTCTCCCATCTGCGCATTGCATGGAGCCAGTTTGCATCAGGAGACTCAATTAGTCGCTCTACGTTTGGCCTGGCACGGCGGAGGGGAGCGGGCCAGCGTGGGGACGGCAGCACACGGCTGCCTTGTCTGAAAATATTCCTCCTGCACCTAAGTTGCTTTGCAGCTTTCAGGAGCACGGTCCCACGGGTGGGAGCCCCTGGATCAAGCCTCGAGCCTACTGCCCCTTTGCCCTGCCTGGCATGCAATGAGCTGGTAGCAGGCAGAGCAGCTTCAACCACGCTCGGCCCTGCGTCCCTCTCTCCTTCCCCGTCCACCACCACTCACCTCCTGGACCTGGGGTCCTCCTCGGCACCTAGCTGCTCAGCCATGTGAACATCTGGGTATATAGGGAGAGGTGTCCTAATATCTGGGAAAAGGAGCTATTTTCCAACCCTGAGAAGCAATTTGCACCATGCAGTGCTGATTTCAGCACGGGGTATTGCTTTCTGCAAGGACCAGGGTGGAAATAGGTGCATGAGATGCAACGTGACAGAGCAGTGCCAATCCACCTGTGGCCGGGGAGACACCGCAGGGTGATCCCCAAAGCCCTCACACCACAGTGCAGGTGCTCTCCAGCAACGACCACAGCCTACAGCAGCGCGCAGCAGCAGGGATACAGCCACGTTCATGTGCATATTGTCAATACTGTTCATGAAAACCATTGCTGGCAGTAGCCGTCCGGGGGAGCTCGATCGGCTCCCCTCAGCCCCGCTAGCACATCTGTCTGGGGGCAAACGCTTTCCCCACACAGCAAAACAGCTGCAGCAGTGACAGGGAAGTGCGTGAATAATGAGGGACTTCCCGGAGAGCCACTGCAGCAGATGGGCTGCTTTCACTCCCCTTAGCAGGAGCGCACGTGTGTGGCAAGGGCAGGGGTGCAGGAGATGCTGAAGCAGCCCAGGCAGAAAACATCTCCTCCTGGTACAAAAACAACCTCAAAACATTATGCCCAAGGCAATGGGGAAAGAGGAAGGAAGCAGGGTTGCATCATCCCCTTGCTACTGACATGGCAGGTTGGCAGGTTCACATGGAGATGCAGGTTCACAGGCCAAGCCATATAGCATCCACCAGGTCTTCCAGGCTGCCCTTCCAGCCCTCAGAAACACTGACCTCCTTGGAGGAAGGGGACCCACAACCACCCAACCTTCTCAGCACCATCCTTTGGCCCTGGAAAGCAATGCCCTGCATCTCAGTCAGATCTTACGGCAGGACGGCTACCACCAGTGCACGCTCCCCTTCCTCTGCACCTACTGCCACCTTCATCTTTTCCTCTCCTGTTCTCCCTCTCCTTCTCCTGTGCATTTGCTTTCCTCTCTGGGGTGCATATTCCAGCTCCCTCAGCCACAATCTCCCCCAGCACCAGGAGTCCTTCCCCACCTCGTCCCCTCCAAGGGGAGTGGTCTGCCAGGAAGCAAGAGCCATCTCCTGCACAAGACCGATTAAACAGGGAACAGACATCTCCTGTTTATCTCCTAAAATGAGATTTCTACTCCCCACCAAGTTAGGCGCTGGGCCGACTTGCTCTTCCTTTGTTTCATGCTCTGGAAATCTCTGGCAACTCTCACACCCTTCAGGTGAGTGCTGAAGGCACTGGTGAAGAAGGCAGGTGAGTGCTCTGGGGGTCCCCAGGTGGGGGTACGCACCACGCAGCCTGTCGAGTCCAGCTTGCGGTCTGAGATGCAACGAAAGTTCTTGCTGCAGCCCCCGTTGTCCCTGGAGCAGTCACGAACGGGGCCAAATGAATCGAGGAGGACCTCCAGGCTATCAAACGAGGAGGAGGTCATCAGTTCTTCCCTGTGACAAGGAGGAGACAGTCACACCCAGCACTTTGGCTCGAGAACGGCTGTGTTTAGCCGAAATTAGAAAGTGCTAATGAGAGCGCACCCACCCAGCACGACACATTCACACATGCATTCACACACAGGTTTGCACCTCCAGCGACACCAGATGGGCAGCCCTTCTTCTGGTGCCGACCTGAGGAGCTGGAGCGAGACCTGTGCGCGCCACCACCCAGCTACTCGCTGTGGAGAGGCATTGCACCCACAACCGCAACCATTGTGCGGGTTTTACATAGCGCTGCTTTCCTCAAGCTGACAGCAAGCTATGAACTGAACACTAGTCAGGCTTTCAGAGGGGCATTGGATCTACTGAGATGAGGGGAGGTATCTCTGAAGGCTCAGCTTTTGAAGGCACTGGGCAGCAGAGCCCATGGAGGGGCAGGTGCTGGCAGACGTACTGATCGCTGCCTGTGAAACATGGGGCTATAGGCTGAGTCAACTCTTACCAATTCCTGTGTGCTTTGGGTTGGCCCTCTTGCACCAGGCACACACCTGGGGAGGTAGCGCTAGTATATTTGCTGGAATACTTCTCAGTATCAGGCTACGCTCATACATCAGGATTAAACCCACTGTCAGATTTGGGGCGAGAAAAGGATTCCACACTACTCCTCTTCAACTTTCTCGCTGTCTTGCTGGAGCATCTTAGAGTAAGGCATGGAAAGTCTCAGGTTTGTCCCATGGCTGGGAGAAGTGTACACCAAACACGGTCAGCCTGGTCTCCAAAGGGCTCAGTCTCACAGCAGCAATGACACGGAGCAAGGGACAGGGAAAATATAGGGGATATAAGGTCCTCAACGTCAACCCCCCTTTGAGTGTCTTGCATGATCCCTGTGGAGCACCCTTGTCTCCATCTCCAACCTACTCTATGCTGAGATTGCTCCTACCTGACCTCCACTGCATCCTCCATCACTGTCATGTCAGTCTTACACTTGGCGGAGGGGTTGATAGCCAGTTCGGCCGGTGGGATAACGAAGCTCTTGCTCAGTGGCAGCCACATGCCTTCCCCCAGGGTGTAGGTGAACCTGCCGGGCAGAGAGAAGAAGCCCGCGATGAAAGGGAACGCCAAGCAAGGCAGGGCAACTACCATACCTGGGTGTCTTCTACTTTCCCCACTCTGCATATCTCATAGCTCCCCCAAAATACTGCACCTGCACCCCCTCCTTAGGTGGCTTAACAAATGATTTGATTTTACTTCAGAACAGAGGGTGTGCGGTCTCAACGCAAGCCTGAAGAGTGCCGTTCTGCAAACTGAATATGTTGGTGCATCCAGCTGGCTCCTTGCAGAGGAATTTTACCCACATATTGTGGGTATCTCTTGGTATCTCTGTCTTTTGGTAACGGAGGAGACAGGTAGATGGACGGGGCACTTTCACTGCCTCCCCAATATCAACAACCCAGCAGCCATGACAGCGGCAGGGCAAACAGGAGGATCTGGCCCCGCTCACACGCAACAGGCACAGAAGTGCCATCCATCAGCCGAGCACACACTGACAGGGAGCATGGGGAGGAGGAGGAGGAAGGAACCACGAGGGATAATTCATGTATTTATTCCTCCTTTCGGAGGTGTCCAGACCTTCCATGTGTGCTGCAGAGTTAGCAGGACAAGGGACAGCAGAGGCAGATGCTTCACTGCAGCAGGAGTGATAGCAGGGAGAGGTGTGGATACCATGCACGGACACCTCTATGAACTGCACAGCCACAGCAGCACAAAGGGAGACGACTCTTCCAAAGGTTTTTGAATGCCCCACAAAAGCATCAGTAAAAAAAAGCAAGGCATTTCCCCTTCCAGTAGATATCTTGCCACTTCGGAGCCTAAAACTAGTTCTCATCAAGGAGGGAGAGGAGGAACCGGCCCCTGGGAATACATTGCCCCATGAAAGAGCCCTTGGCAGCCATGGATCTGGCTGTGGGTTGGAGCCTTTCGGCCGTGCTCGCGTTTCTCCAGGAGGTGGCACAGCATGGCCATGCGCAGCCACCCAGGTCCTCCCAGAGCCCCTGGCTAGGAGGAAACAGCCCGCTGCACTCTCCCTGCGTTGGTTGCAGGGCCAGAGCTTCTCCAAAGCCTCCCTGGAGGCTACATCTCTCCTCACCCCAAAACCAGGGGACTGGGCAATGCCCGATTCTCCTTCTAAACCCCGTGAAGGCAGCCCTGCATTGACTGGGTTGCCTGCAGGCACGTTGTCTTCAGCCACAACCTGCTGGCTTATAGGGAGGCTGCCGAGGGGATGATGGGGGCTGAAAACCATCTCACATGGGTGAGGGTGCAGAAAGGTGCCTCAAAGGCTACAGATTTGGAAAAGAGGGCCCTGAGGGGTTTCAAGAGATCACTCTGCACCGTCTGTCCCCAAATCCTGCTGACTCAACCAAAGCCACACCGGAGAGGTGTGTTTCTAACCTGCAGCAATACAGACTGGTCACTACAGCTCTTTTCCTTGTTTAAATCTCTCTAGGCCCAAGGCAGCTTCTACTACCCACCGTGGGAGCCCTTTGTCAACATTTACCTAGTCAGAAACCCCCACCTCACTCAGCCTTTCTTTCTAGGCCATGTGTTCTGGCTGTCGGAGGAACCTCAAGGATCCTCACTGCCAACTACGTTGCCTGCTTGCCAACTCCATCCTGTGGACGAGGCCAGCCTCAAGGGCACGTGACAGCAGGGTTGCAGGACTGAGGCCCCACAGCATAAAAACCAGGGAAGTGACATGCAAAATACAGCCATCACCGGCAGCACAGGAAGGGGAAGGAGAGAGATTACGCCACCCTGGAGGCCCACGTATGGTGGGATGCTGGAATATGTGCCCGTGAGTGCATCTTGCACCTCCTCATTACCACCGTGCTGGAAGCAAGCCCCCGTGCCGATGTCTCCAGCACCTCTGCAGAGGGGAGAGGCACAGTATCGCCAAGGCTGCTCGACGGTCCGAAGGCAGCCCATCGGCTGGTGTGTCCTTAGAAACCAGTGTGTCCAGGAAAATGGAGGACGTGCTACTTGCAGAGCTCTGAAGCCGAGCCCAAGTGCTTGCTGCCTCTGTCTAGGCCCTTCACCCACTCGAAACGCCCCATTTTCCTGGATCCGCACCCTCCTTCTCACCACCATGTCGTCAGTGCATGTGGATTAGGAGCAGAAATGCTTGTGAAGCAAAGACAGAAGATGTCTTCTGGATGGCCCGTGGTATTCAGGGATGGCTGACACCCTTGTGCTGGCCTCTTTCGGGCCCAGTACCGAGATGGGTTTGGTGCTGATCCAACCTAGCTTGTAGGAGATTTCTAGCTACATCACAGCTAACATAAGTGGCATGTTCAAGGTCTGGCCCTTGGGAAATCGAGATTGAAATATACTCTTTGGAAAGGGTAATCTCCACAGGACACAGTTTGCAAACGGAGGGGAAACTGAACCCATGGATAGAGAAATGGGAAGAGGGAAGATTCGAGGTGAAAACTTGTGGCACAGAGCAAACCCAAGCAAAACGCATCAAGCAAGTGCTAGGGAGAACGGGGCAGGGGAGGGGACCACAGGGGCAAAGCCTGGAGGGACGAACGGCAGCAACACTTACCGAAAGATCTTATCCGATGGCTGCTCTCCCAGCACCAAGTCGAACCCACGCTGGAATATGGTGTACGGCCAGGGCCTGCAAGCAGAAACCCAAGATAATCCTATTGCTATCACGCTCGTGCTGCTGCTTGCCGCCCAAAACGCTTCCCAGGCTCAGCCCTGTGCCCTGAGCTCAGGCAGGCAGCACCGGAGCGAGCAGAGAGCCGCAAGACCCACGTTGCGCACGACGCGCACAGACACGTTTCCCTGAAACATAACATACAAGCGGTAGCATGACATACTCCAGACCACTCTTGCTACCGTTCACGCCCGGGATCTGTAAGCCACACACACTTCTGTACGCTCTGGTACCACCCACCCAGCTCCCGTTTTAGGGATTTGTGTCACATCCATCAAAGCGCAGAAACAGAACCAAAAAGCAAGTGGAATGTTTCTTTGCAACACTTTTTTAAAAGAAAGCCTTTCAGGTTTTGGGACTCTTTCACCACATGGCTGATTTCCCTCACCTTCCACTGGTTTTGGAGGGGAGAGTGCTAATCCAAAAACGACCAGAACATTTTTTTTTTTTTTGCCTAAAAAATGGGGAATTTTCACCTGCAGGCCAATACAAAATAGATGTTTCTTTATCTACATATTCAAAGACTTTGCATTTTGCCTCATGAGCTGCAATACCCAGCAGCTGCAGAGTTGTAATGCCTGGGCGATAGGACTGTGCCTTTCCCTCGTGGCCAGAAAGCGTAGCACGGTGTCAGCTTTCAGGGCTGCATGGTTACGGCCACACGTCCACCAGCGAGGATGCTACAGGAACAAGGGACTCTCTCCCAGGTGGCAGAGCCTAAGTACCAACGGCTCCAGGAGTTTCAGCTTACCAAAATGTATGACTTTGCAAACTGGTCTAAAAGATAAGCTGGAAGTCTGGAGCCAAGTAGGAGGCTGGAGAACTGATGAGTCCCATCTTCTCCACCTCCTCTGCCCTCCATAGCACAGAGCTACGTATAAATGCAATTTAGCGACCCGTGCACCTTCAGCTGACGCACCCCTGAGGGTATCTGTTACCATGCACTGCCCACAGAAAACAAACTACAAACCAGAAATGCAACTTAGCTACTCTGGGTGCTGCTGAGGGCTGAATTCACAGGGGCATCAGTACCCAGAGACATGATACTCAGCGACTTGCAGGTCTCCAGCTGCAGCACGGCTTCATTTGCAGAATATCATTTTCAAGAAGATACTGAGGAGTTGGTGAGAATTCAGGGAACAGCAGTAAAACAAAAAGAAAAAAAAATAATAACCACGGGAGACCAGAGAGATTGCAGGGGACAGAAGAGGGAGGTGGGTAGACCTCAGAGGCAGGGAGCAGCCCTGGGATGAGAAAGGTAAGGCGGAGCAGAGCATGCAGAATTACTCAGGGTTGCAGAGAAAATGCCAGGAGAAAGGGGAGAAAAGCCAACCTCAGGAAAATCTGCTCGACGGCGGAGGGTTGAGAAGCTCCGAGGAGGTGTCCTGTAGGGGACGGGGCTGCGCTGCGCCTCGGCACATAAGGCACGATAGCTCGGGCAGATTCGCAGCGCTGCCGCCGCAGGAGCACCTCCAACCCGGCTCCTTTCCAGCCCCAGGGACTCCTCGTGCACCTGCGTCTGGGGACTCGGCCTGACGGGAACACACCGTTCCTGCTGGGCGACGTAGGATTTCCTCGCGTGACCTGACTGCTTGGAGACCACAAAGTACTCGAGGGATAACCAGCACGACCTGTCTCCTGTAGCAGCTGGCTCCAAGACCAAGCAGCAGATTCGTATCTACCTGCAGAGACACGAATGCAAACCCCTCTGGCCCCTCCAATCCCGAACCCTCAAGCTCCAAATCCCATTTGCAAGAGCTGAGCTCAGAGCTGGGGAGAGAAAGAGGTTTTCTGCCCTGTTATATCGTTGCCTTCAAGAACACACTGCTGAGCGAGAAAGGTGAGAGTGTGCTTCCTTGCGCGGTGCAAGGTAAGTACCCTGCCGCCCGCAAGCCTGGGGCTTTTCTCAGGAGGCAATTACAGCTCTCCTGCACAAGCACTTTAATTTCTAATCTCAAGTTATTTTAGTAAGGACAAAAAAGTCCTGATTGCAGGATTACAGGGCCCCATCTAATTTCCTCGCTGGGACACAATGCCACTTTTTTGTCCAGTCCGCTAGAAGTGGAGGATTACATTCAGCCCCCAGATCGGATTGCCTTGAAAGAGGTCAGCTTCAGAAGAAAAGCAGTGAACTCCTTGCGTCTCACCAGTACCTCGAACACTTCACGTCTCCGCCTTTCAATCCTCCTGCCGATGGGCTTTATTCTTGCTTCTCAGGAGCACGGCAGGCAGGGAACAAAAGCAGAGGCAAAGTATTGTTGCTCATCGACTCAGGTGGAAAAACTGTTATAAGAGCCGCTCCTTTCTTCCAGAAGTCAGCCCTGAGGAAGGCGCTGCAATGACACAGTGGAAAGGTGGACTTCTCTGCTCGGCCATGGACAGGCAGATTTGGCAGCCTGCGGACGCTGACGTGTCTGCGCCATGCAGCCGGTGGGCTCTGGCCTGCCTGGGAGATATAGATCAGTGCCCAGGCCACCTTGCAGCCCCCTGAGCTGCAATTTCCCATCGGTGCTAAAATGTGTGCGATGTTGGTTTTCGAGCTTGGAAACAGGTTTCCAGCGTTACGTGCTCCAGGAAGAGACCCTGGGGAGACTGCAGCATGATCTTCCCAGCCAGCCCCACTTTGCACCTAATTCAGCATCAAAAAGGCCCATTAAAACAAAGGCTGCACTAGGCGTTGCTCAACCTTTAGCTGCGTGAGGACGCGGCACCACACAGCACAGGATTTCAAAGGAGCTCTGGAGGGGAGCCTGGCCTGGCCCCACTGAGAGGGATGCAGGAGTTGCGCTCCCTTTGGCACTGAGACAAGTCTGGGAAATGCCCCTGGGAAGGGAAGGCAGAAGCTAACCTTAAAACCCAAGCAGAGCGTTAAAAGAGGAAGATGCCTGCACCAGCCCCTGGAGGGAAGCCCTGGGACATTCTCAGTAGAAGACCTCCAACTCAACGGGAGATATTTGCCCGTCCTCATCTCTGAAGCACTCCAAGAGCTCGACGTTGACTGCTCTGCCCACGCAGAAAAAAAGGCAGCTTTTCTTGCTTGCTTGTGCCTTTTGCTTCACAAGACTGGGAGAGCTTTCCTCTCCCTGTGCACATCTCACCTTCGCAATCGCTGCTTTTTGCCCCCTGTGGGTCTGCCACTCTCTTTCATCCCCTTTCTTCTCCCATCCGTGCAAGTGTGTGCTTCTGCATCTGTCTCCCTCCCTACGCTCTGTGATCACCAGAGGCGCCTCGCTGTTCTGATTTTTGTTGCTCTTGGCGGGTATTTTGGTTGCATGCTCTTTAGAGCTCACAAAAGAAACAGAGACTGATCAGAAGCAGCTCTGTGTCTGATCAGATTGGATTAAATGGGCTAGAAATGACAGCTCGCATCTCCCTGCAAGCCTTGGCACGCAGGTATGCATCTGAAACTACAAAATGGGGAGTCAGCAGAGCAGCCGAGAACCAACCAAGTTCCCCAAATTCAGTGAGCGAGCTCCTGCAACCAAAGCTCTGCCAGTGCCTCCCGAGGATAATCTTCAGGCCTCTTTGCTTTTTCCAGCTGGACTGTCATCTGTGCTTTGCTCCAGTTCTGGGCTTGAGTGGAAATTTCCAAAATAACTACTAGGCCTTCTGGACTCGGTGCTGTTTATGATGCTCTGATCTACCTCACTAGGATCCTGGCAACGCTCAAATTGCAGCCTAAAGGGGCAGAGGCCAAACTAACTCCCAGTGTCAAGAACTACACTCCTTTCCACTCCTGATTTCCTGCAAAGCTCTTTCTCTGATCAAAAAGCCAGATGGGATGAGGAATCACAGCACGGAGCCCATGGGATGGTGAGATAACCACGAGCCATCGCAGCTTCCAAGGGATCTGGCAGGAAGACCAGAGGGTCTGTATAGCAGAGGAGGGTTTGGAGAAGGCATTAAGAAGTTACTGCACGCAAGTGTGGCTAAAACATCACTGGAGAAGAAGGCGGCGTGCTATTAAGCTCTGCAAATAGCTGACTAAACAAGTCATCTGTTTCTTTGAGCTGTTTGGGCCTCCCACCCAGCCAGTGGCCCAAGAATCACCAAGCCGAACCATGTCCAGTTGAACCACCACTGCCATGAGCAAGGTACCAGCTTCAAGTGTATACTTAAAATGCACGGTGTGAAGGAGACCAGCACAGTCAGTTTTAACCTCTCAAGAGAGGACAGCACGTAGGGCTACCAGCTAGACCGATGTGAGGTCAACGCACTATCCACAGCCCCTTCGTTGGCATCAGTGGATTTCAGGTGCAGAACAAGCAGGCAAGAAGTGTCCCTCCAGCATATGTGGCTCTCCTCTCCGCCCAATGATCCTCCACCCACGAGAGGATGAAGACCAAAGAGGATTGTGGTCTGATTTGGGGAGAACTTATGCAGGAAAGAGAAAAGACAGGACATCAGCAAGGAGCAGGCACCATCAGTGTCCAGAACTGCAGGTTCATCTTGCCCGGCGATGCCCCTGACCCAGCTACTCCATAGGGAACCAGCCACTTGCCCGTTTCTGCTCCTCCCCTGCCTTTGCTCTGCCTTGCAGCATCTTCACTTGAGCTTCAGCTGTCTGCGCCTTTTCACTTCCCGTCTCCCCAGTCCCCCCTGCCATCCTTCCCAACCAGCTCTTTATTAAAAATGCTAATGCCAACACTTTCTCCCTGGGTTGCCTGTAAATCTGCGAGGAGAATGGGGCGGGGAGGAGGAGGCGGATGGGTGGTTTGGTGAAAGGATCTGAAAGAAAGAGAAGCTTTTTATCTGGCCGTCCTTCAATTTCGCAAAGCCGAGGCACACAGCAGGGGATGGAAAGAGGCAGATTAAAAAAAAGAAGTCAGAAAGAAAAGGTGGGGGGGGGGGAAGAAAGGGTCGGGGAAAACTAAAGCACGGAAAGTGCTTTCCTTGTAACTTCAGCTGGATTTGTTTGTCCCCAGTTCCTCCGCGGGGCTATGGGTGTCTAAGGGTGGAGGCGACGGTGGGTGTGCGCATGGCCAGGAGGGGGACCCAGAGAAGAACCCAGGTAGGGGCTGTTACACAATCCAGGTTCTGGAACTGGTTACTTGAGAGCAACCCAAATGCTCAGCGAGACCTGAGAGGGCAGGAAAAAAAGGCCACAAGCCTCTGGGATGGAGAAAAGGGTCGCTTTCCCATGTACTTCTCAGGTCCTGCTGGTACGCACCCTCTCCCCTTGGGTGCTCCTGGTCCCATGTCCAGGCCCTGCTGCTGACCTCTACAGCCCAAATCCCACCCTTGACCGGCTCAGCAGAGGTACTGCTCTCCCAGACCCAGACAAAACAAGTTTAGTTGTACACCCTGCCTTCCTCTCCTCCCCTACAAGAAGAAATTAGAGCTGGCTCCACAGCTCAACCTACTGGAAACCACCACCAAGCCCACCCTTTCCCTTTCCCACAAGAGGCTCCCACTGCATGTCAATGGCAAATAAAAGGATCTGACTAAAGACTCGCAATGCTCTTGTACTGAAAGAGGCACAGTGATAAAGACCCCTTAAACGCAGGCCATGTTAACCTCCTACCCCGAGGATGTCTTAAAAGCGCACCCAGGCAAGAACATCACTTGGGAATGGAAGAGCCACGGGTAATCACATTACGAGTCTACGGGGCGAGATGAAGAAGTACAAATGGGGACAGGTAACAGATGGATTATTAACTAAAGGCAGAATTAGCTGATTTGCTTTTAGTAGAGCCAGAGCATGAAGGAACCGTGGGAATTAGATTTGATTAGCAAGGACCAGGCAGTATTGGCTGGGGGGCTGAAAGCGACTTCCTACCTGAGAAATTTTAGCTGCTTTTCCGTTCTTTCCCTAATTAAAAATGCATATCAAAATATAAAGATAGACTGTGAATAAACAACCAGCACAAGCCAGATTTGTTTAAAACAGCTGAAGAGCAGCACACAAAAACAAACAATCAAACATATCTGCTAAACATGATCAAAAAGACTATTTTTGAAAAACTGATGATGATTTAGGGACTGGATGCATTAAGTAAAAGATGTATCACAATGATGTGGATCTCAGCGTGGTACCCAAAATACACACAACACATAAAAGCTCACTGCCATTGCAAATAAAGTTCAAAGATGAGCTTGCCTTTATGACCAAAATTAGATGCTGCTGAGCGAATAGACACTGAGTCAACTCATAATCACTGTAAATAAAAGCAAACCAGTCAGAAACATATCTCGATCCACAGGGTTGAAACGACTTTTCAGATAAAGCCACCACTCTATCAAAACAACAGAGGTCATACCTAGACATCAAAACATCGCTTGCCAGCACGTTGAGGGATTTGGCAAGCCACCCTAAAGGCAAAGCCCCCAAATTCTGCCTTATTGACCTCCCTTTTGCTATGGGACGTGTCAGCGTGACTTCCCTCGGGGACTGACTCACCACTTGGACAGTGCCGAACACTTGTTTCACTAATCATTGCAGAGCACAGCTCCAATATTGGAGGGTTTAGGAATGCGCTAGACAAACTTCTGTCAGAAATGGTTCAGACATGGTCGATCTTGCCTTGGGATGGGGTGGACAGAGCAGCTGATTACAAGATATCCCTTTTTTATGAGCCTATGGGCAATTTCATCAGGTTAGAGCTGAAAATGAGCTGAGGAACACGATAAAAGACAGCGTGTCCTGTGGCATCGGAGAACGCCACTTCTGCTCCAAAAGACATAAATATCAGGTTCAGTGAGATGAGTCAAAAGGGCACATGAGCTCTGACAAGTAAATTCTGCTGCACCAAAGCAGGGCAGACGTCCTCATAGAAATAACTTTGCAGAGACCGCGATGGGTCACATTAAGATCTTTGAACAGCTCGTCACCAAATGGTCGCAGAAAGCAACCTGCTTCCCACGCACCGATCCAATGGCACAGGCTTCCCGACCAGTGACCATAGCACAAATGAAGTCTCCTCCGGGTGGAAACTGCTCAGTCGTTCGGTTGAAGCTGTCAGAGATTCACTAGGGGAAACTGGACGGGGCAGAAGAGACCTTAACCGCTATGTGACCCTCCATGGGAACCGCTGCGCAGAGCAGGCATGGATCGCAGTGCAATAAAGAATTCTCATTAAACATGAAACTGGCCCCAGCACCGAGCTTCCCCGTGTGGACGTCCTTTCAAGAGTCCCTATAAATAGTGAAAGCTGCAGGCAGGAAAGACTGAATTAAGTATGAATTGCAGCTACTACCGTTTTCTGAAACAAAATCTGACAAGTTCAAGGAAGAAACGCAGAACGACCCCAGTTTCAAACAGCTTGAGAGAGTAACTCCCAAAGCGCAACTGATGAAAAAGCCCAGGCACTGCCGAGCACCGAAGACTGATGGAGAGTTTGGAGAAGGGCAGTGGGATTTTCAATGGCACCTGCATGATCCAGGGCTACGCACCATCTTGCAGGGGGGGGGAAAAAAGAGAGGCTCTGCCAGGTTTCGCTGCCCCAAACAGAAGTGTACGTTGGAAACGCTACATATCACTTGTGACGAACAGCTAGACACTTAGGTAAATAAGAAGGGAACCAAGACAACATATATTCTGGCCAGATATGAGCACCACCGCAAGAAAAAAGGCAGAGAAATATGAACGTAGCAAAAATGATAATACAAAAGCCTCACATACACACACACAAAACCCAAGGTCCCTGGGCCCTATTTATCCAAGCAATGATGAAGCTCCATTTGAATTAAGCAGGGAAAACGACTCTTGATTAAAGGGCTGTTACTCTTTCTCCTCCTGAGCAGAGGTGTCGTGCACCACCGTGAGTGGCAAAAATGTGACACCACCGCTAGCACGGTTTGCTCGCCACGGGACCCTAGGTGAGTTCGTTACAGATAACGGCTCGGCAGTGGTTTGATTTGTCTGTTCAAGCACGTCAAGTCAGAGCCTCCGCGGGCACCTCCGGGCACCCGGTGAAGAACACGTCTGGAGGACACCCCAGGGGCCGTAATTAGCCGAGCGGCGACACGCTCGGCAAACGCTTTAAATGTGGAGGTGGAGAAGGCTCCCATGGGTGTACCAGGACGGAGCTGGGTCCGAAAAGCAGCCCCAAGTCCCCGGAGGAAAGGAGCAGACCCTGAGCACCTTGCAGATTGGTATTACTGAGGCAAAAGCCTGGTAGGTAGAGAGCTGTGAGGGGTCTGGCGGTCTGCGGGAATGAGTTTTGCCTTCCTGCCCTTGGCTTCCCTCCCGTTCATTACCGTCCATGTTTTTGCAAATTCGCCTGTAACCGGCTTCCTTTCTTCTCCCTTTTCCCTTTACACGCGAGAGTAGGTAGATCAAGATGTTTGAGACGAGAAAGGGACATTCAGACAAGAGCGTGAAGCTGCAGTCCCGTTCCCCAGGAAGTGGTGGAAAAGCGGGAAGGAAGGAAGCAAACGCTTACCCACGCGTGGTCATCCGCATCTATGACCAGCCCTGACGGACAACGTCATCTGACACTTTGCTCCTTGCAAAGCGGTGGACCCAGGACGCGGGAGCAAGGTCGGATCCAAGCCATGGGAGCAACGGGCTTTTGCCGATCTGCTATGAGATATTGCTGAGCCCGACATCCCTGTACCAGTCCCTCAAAAGGGGAACATCCCGCTCCCGTCGCCTCAGCCCTCGTTACGCGATGCCCCTCGGGACCCCCCCCCCAGGGCACGCGAAGCTGGGGAGCGCAGCGGGTCCTTGTGGGACTTTCAGCTCTGGATACAGGCAGGGGGCTGCCACCGCGGGTTTGCACTTTCCCACCCCGGCGCCGTCCCATTCGTCCCACGAGCAGCCTCGCATCGCCTCGGTGCTCCTCCTCCTCCTCTCCATCGCCCCGAGCCCCGCTCTCCTCCCCTCCGGCTCCCGCGAGGGGTGAAGGAGCCCAGCTGAAAATCGCAGCCAAGAGAAGGAGCCCCGAGCCCGTCCTGCTGCAAAAAGCCCTTTGCGTGCTGCATCGTTCAAGGCCCAGCGTGGCTTACCCCAGAGGAGAAAGTCGGGGGAGAAATTCCCCTATTCGGGGACAAGGTCAGGTGAACGTCGCCCCGGGGAGCCCCAGGCAGCTCACACAGGCTAACGCCCTGGGATGCGCACCGCTATTACCAACGTTAAATGAGCATGTTAATTAAGATGAAGCCAGATAATCAGCCCTGCTCCCGGACCCTGCCTAGAAGTGCTATCAAGTGCCATTAGCCTTTATGTGCAACTCCGGCGCCCACTTGCTGGTACCCTCCTCCGTGCGCTCCCCACCCCGCCGTTTCCACCCTTCGCCTGGGACCACCATGCCCGTTTCTGCCAAACCGACACATCTCACGTCCACACCTAAAACACCATGAGACGCAGGCTGCCAGCGAAAGCTCCCAGAAGGGCAGAGAAGCAGCCCTGATCCTCCTGGGAGAGGGGGCAGGTTTACCCTGAAACCTAATGATGGCCGGTCCCTCCCTGCCAAATCAGGCAGGCTGAAATTTTGTTCTGCTGGGATCAATGGCTTTCATGAAACCAAAATCCACCTTGGCTGTATCTCTACCCCCTGGACCTGCAGGTCTCCTGCTGCAGGCAGCGCTGGCCACCCGTGCCCACGGCACGCGCCCCAGCCTGGTGCAGCGCGGCCCGGCTACGACCCGCACGGCGGCAGCAGCCAGACTTACCCCTGGTTCGTTCCCCACTCGTTGCGGGTGCAGAGCACTCACCTGCAGAGAGAGAGAGGAGGGGACGTGAAGGAGACGGGTCCCGCTGGGCACCGGCGCTTTCTCGGTGCTCTCCTAGCACATTCGGCAGCCTGGGGGGCCTGGCAGCTCAGTTCCAGCATCCGCAAGGTCCCCGCAGCACCCCGTTGCCCTCCCTGGGCGTTCAGCCTGGCCGGCAGCAAGTACCCAGAGCCTTCGCCTCCAGGCACCTCCTCTTGGGCATCGCTGCAGCAGAGGCCCCATCGAAAGGACGGGACAAGGCGCCAAAGTCTTCCCTCTCCCCGCCAAGGCCCTGCGCTGCGCGTCGCTGAGCCCGGCTCCCGCTCTAACTCACGTGTATCAACTGCTCTAGGTCTAAGCTCACGCTTCAGCGTTAAGGGCTGCGCTGGGACTTCCTCTGCGCCGCGAGCTAAAGATGCGCTTAAACGCTCCCCCCGAAACGTGCCGCGCATGCCTGCTGCGGGCTGGGCAGTCGGTGCCGAAGGCGAAGCCCAGGCAGCGAGGAGCGCGGGGGCTCGGACTCGCGCAGCAAAGGCCAAAACCCCCAGCGAGGAGGAGGGCTCCAGGGACAGCCGACAGCTGGGTCCAGCCCTACCGCAGCCCGCCAACCCACGCTGCCGAAACGCGGGAACCCATCCTCCCTCCTCTGGCGGAGGCAGGAGAGTTGCAAACCCCAAAACCTGATCCGAGCTAGATGCAACTAAAGGAAACGGCCTCCGCTCCATCCTGCTGCGTCCGGCGGGATCGGACCCCGCGGTCGAGGCGCTCCCCACGGTTGTTATTGCAATGACACTGGGACGACCACGCTGTTTCCAAAAGCTCTTCCTAGACGCGCGACTCAAACTACGGCCCTGACCTCCCAGGGCAAGAGCGCTTGTTTTGTTCTGTTTTACGCCTCCCTCCGCTTCCTTCCCCAAGTCCTTTCACAGGGCATCACGTGGTGGGGTGTCTACCTGCTGCACTTGGGTTAATACCGGCTGATCTTTCCGCAAGGCTTACACTAGTTTGGGCTGTGCTGCAGACTCGGAGCTGCCTGGCTCCGAGCTGGGTCCAGCCCGGGACCCACCTGCCAATACCATGTAGACGCTCACTGGTGAGTTCAAACCTGGACGCCAGATGCTTTGAAATTCAACCCAGGATTGTAGCCAAGCTCTGGCTAGAGGGAGCTGCTGAAGAAGTGGCTGCGCTCTGTCCCAGCTGGGAAGAGGTTAGGTGTCCAAGCAGGCAGCCAGGAGCGGTTTCCACAACCTCCCCGTTTGCTGGGTTTTGCTAGGCCTGGATGCGTAAACGCATATTGTGTGCTCGGATGGCGCTCCTATGGGATGGCCTCCCTTGAGAGGGGTCCAACCCATCCCCTTCTCCACCCCCATCAGCACTTGGCACCAGGTAGGATCAAGCTCATGGCACCATGCTGAGTCATCAAAATCCACAGACGAATGCCAAGACGTGCTCTGAAAGCCCACCACGCTGGATCCCACCGCTCCCCCTTGGTCCCTTCCCCACCGTTCCCAGTCCCCGACGCTGCTGGAGCACGGCCCCAGCAAAAGCCTAGTTCTGGTGCTGGCGGACGGATGCAGCCAGGAGGAAGGACACTCTGCTTCCCCTGCAGCACAACGCGGCTCTCGCTGTCACCGCAGGGGACTGGGTCACCTCCCAGAGCATCCACGGCCTGGGAAAAGGGCACGGAGGCACCATTTCCACATCCAGTTCTTTACTGGTCCCCCCAGACCCTACCGAATCTGTCCTCAGGGCTCTGCAGAGAGCTTGGAGATCACTTAGAGGAGACAGTGGTGGGAACAAATGGGAAAACCCACCCAAAAGAAACAAGGAGGTTGCACCTGAAACCCAAGAATATCCATAATCAAGGATCCAACCTAAATACGGTTGGTGCCCGAGCCAGCCAGGCTGCAGGCGAGGAGAGCTGCTCTACCTGCGCCCGGCGCCCAGCAAGGCGCCCGTGCCCAGCTCGAACTCCCGCTTACCAGTCTCGGGGTCGCACTGGTGCTCGCAGGGGTCGAGGAGGCGCCGGGCGCAGAGGTCCAGGGCCCAGGGCCCGCTGGAGTTCTGCTGCGAGAAGAGGACGACCTGCGCCGGGTTGAGCCAGTCGCTGGCGTCCAGCTGGCTCCCCTCCAGCAGGATAAACCGGCTCCCTGATGCAGGGAGAGAAAGCGGTGATGGGTGACCCGCTGCTCCCCTTCCACCCCACGCATGTCCCCCGTTTCCCTGCCCCCCGGCCATGCCCCGCCTGAGCCCCGGGAGCTCAGCGTCCCCGCAGGGGCGGGGCGCAGGAGAGGGGAG